AAAAGTGGGTGTGTGTGTGTGTGTGCGTGTGTGTCTGTGTGTGTCTGTTTAAGTGATATACTTTTTGCATCACCAACCATTACTAGATACCGCTTCCTCGGCCAGCAGATGGGAGTGGATGGAGACATCCACAGCCAGATACTTATGTGTAGAGGGAGTCTAAATTTGAGGTCTCTATCAGGTTCCTCGCCCTGGAGTTCAGGAAACCCTTTGTAAAGGAGGAGGAAAGATTGTAGGAGTCAGAGAGGATGGAGGACACCAGGAGATCATGCCCCACCGAATCAACAAAGCAGGATTCACATGGGCTCACAGAAACTGAATTGGCAGGCACGTGGCCACCATGGGCCTCTGTATAGGTTAGGACTGTTAGATTGGTATTTCTGCGGTACTCCTATAACAGTGGGGGCAGGTGTGTCTTTGACTTTTTTGCCTGCTCATTCTTAGAACTCACTTCCTCCTATTGGGCTGTCTTGTTCAGCCTCATTATGAGAGCTTTTGCCTTGTCTTATTGTAACTTTTTTTGGTTGTTTTCTCTTGGAGGAATGCTCTTTTCTGAAGGGAAACAGATATGGAGGGAGATGGGAGGCAGGGTTTACCAGGAGTGGAGGGAGAGGAAACTGTGGCCTATGGTCAAGTGTATTGAATGAGAGAAGAATCTATTTCAATTTAAAAAGAGAGAAAAGAAAACCAACAGCAACAAATATGAATTCTATGACAAAGGTTGTACAATGGGAAAAAAAAAATCCAAGGTGGGTGGAGTCTTTGGTATGTCACTGGTGAGAGAGTGTTCTGGATTCATCAATGGATTAACCGATAGATGGATGCATAGCTTAATGGACTGGGGGAGGAATATGAAATAAGCTCTCCTTTTGCTTCCTAGCCTCAAGGAGATGAGGTGAACGGTGCTTCAGTACCATAGCATCCTTCCATGATTGTAGGCACAGAAACAAGGCCAAATAACCACATATGAAAGTCTGAAAGCATGAGCCCAAGTAAATCTTTCCTTGTCCTGGGTGATTTTCTTGGATATTTTTTGTTTTGTTTGTTTTTTTCACAATAATAACATGATGACAAGAAACCTGACACTAGGATTGGGGCTGTTGCTGTGATTATAGGAAATAAAGTTTAGAACAGTTTGCAATAGTTTGGGGAAGCAGGCTAGAAAAGGTGTACTGTACAACATTGTGAGTGGAGATTAATGGATGATTCTGGAAGAACCTCAAAAGATTAAAATATTGTTCTAATGTAACAACCATGGCAGAGAGGTTTCAAATGAAAGTGAAGAGAAGACTGCTTTGGGAACAGGACTAAAGGTCATTTATGCTACATTCGGGCAAAGAACTTGCCTACATTTTCCCAATATTTTGCAACTGTATGTGGGGGGGGGGGAGGCTTAAAAGTGACACACCACTCAAACATGTGAAAAAATTCCAAGGCATCTTTGCATCCAGGATGTGGCTTCAGTATTGCTGCTTGACCTCAGCTAGAGTTACAGTAAGACTCAGGAAGAAAAAAGAAAAAAAAAAAAAAAAAACCAGAACAGAAAGACTTGAAAAATCTGCTGTGTGGTCAACAAAGAAAAGCCTGTAGAGTTAGGATGATTGCTGCTCATGAGGGCACTCAAGAGATTAGTATCATTAAAAAATAATGCAAGCACTTTGTGCCTGGACAGTTAGGAAGACAAAGCCTTGAGGTGATCTCATGAATCCAGAATATCCATCCTTCATGGGCTATAAGGTGGGTAAATGTAAATCTTCCATTGAGAAGTGAATCCCTGGGGGTTCTGTGGGTAGTGGCTTTTAGGGCTCATACCATAACATCACATGCCTCAGATGGCAGACATGTGACTATAGCATTCAATGTTTGTCCTTCAAGTTCTCAGTCTTCTTCAAACTGATTCTGCCTTCCTGTTTTACAGTTCTTTGCATTTGGCATAGGAGTGTTCCCCATGTATGTATACTTTTATAATGGATGTATGCAACTTGTTTTTCTTGAATTTCAAAGCTCATAATGAAGAGTGAATCTCTGAAAACACTTTGGGACTTTGACTTTTTCACTGAGGAATTGGTAAGACACAGAGACTCAAAGCCAGACTAGTGCATCCTGATGCCTTCTACATCCTGAGATGGGCATGTGTCCTTGAGGCATAGGGATGCCATTATCTTATAGGTGTTAAATGCCCTACAAAAAGTTCATTCAGTGAGCATTGAGCACTTCCTCTTTAAGGAAGCAGTAATCTGAAGTGGGCCTTTGGGAGGTCATTAAGCCATAAAAGCATTGCTCAAAGTTTTGAATTCACAGCTTCATGGGTTTAGGGGGAGGGGCTGCCTCATAAAAAATGGGCTTTCTATTGTTCTGCCTTAACATATGCCTCCCTATGTCAGAATAAACCTTTCCTTTCCTTTTAGTTGGTTGTTTCATGTATTTTGTAAGAATGACTAAACCTGGTTCAGCTATCCTTGCCTTTAAAGGAAGATTCATTATTGCAACACACACACACACACACACACACACACACACACACACACACAGACACGTATGAATGTATATATATATATATATATATATATATATATATATATATATATGCCAGTATATTTGCAATTGAAGTATACCATTCTGTTCCTGGTATCAAAGGTTATGTCTATCTCACAATTCATTTAATATTTACTGTATACAAATAAACTGCCCATATTATTATTTAAAGCTTATATATTTAAATAATTCACTCAAGATACAAAGAAGACATGAAACTCAGTGAACAGAAAATGTCCATGTGAAGTATATGCCCTGGCATAGAGTTCATGGTAGAAGAATATCCCAAGGATTTTATCATCATTGCTATATCAGAAACTATGCCTTGGGGCACAAACCCCAAATATAAACTAAACCTTGAGGAAAATCACTCTGTTAGTGTAGCAGTGTAGAAACTAAGGAAAACAAAAGTATGGCAAAGGGGAGAGTTAGCTAAAGACAGAGCAGAGTACAAAACCTTGCAGAAAAGATGGGTCAATAGTATGCTGAGTAGACTGCATCCACCCAAAAGGGAAGTCTGGATAAGGCCAAATTAGCCTACCCAAAATAGATATCCTCCTCTTCCCATTTTCCTTATCACCACAACCTCTCATGAGTGATGAGCAAATTATGTACACAGCATAAATTTTAAACACAAGGCTTTTTTGTGTACTTCTTATTTTTACATTTTTGGAGTGTTTTTTTTCATGCAAATGCATTTGGAAAGTCAATCAATAACTGAATACTTGCTTTCTTGTTTAAATGAAGGCTCTAGAAGCACATCCTTGAAAGGTCAAGAAGGTTTCTGTAGGCTAAGAGCAAGGCACAACTACAGAGCAGGGCTCAGGTTTGGGTTTGTTTCTTTTGTGTTAAACACTCTCTCAAAAACAACCATCTTCTGCAAACATTTCTGGTAATATAGCACTATTTCTAGAACCATACAATCAATTATGGGGAAGGTAATCTAAAACTTCTAGTCTTCTGGAGTTTGGGAATCTAGCTCCCTGGCCTAGCATGCACAAAAAGTCCTGGATGTAATGATCAGTGCCACAGAGAAACCCCATGACAGACAAGACACCAAAACAAAACGAAACAAAACAAAAAAGAACCTTAAGGAGGAGACGCAGCTCATAGTGTCTGTTTCTTCATCAATAAACCGGGAGATGATTTGACACAAAAATAAGAAACTTTATGATCATAATAGGGTCAAATATTCTTTCTGTGATATCCTTGTAGAATGAACTTGATTTCTCTGTGTGACCATCCACTGCTGTCCTTTGCTCTTTTCCCAAACACCAGTTATCTGAATCTTGTTTTTTTGTTGTTGTTGTTTTGTTTTTTTTCTGAGACAGGTTGCTCTGTGTAGCCCTAGTTGTCCTGGAACTCACTGTATAGACCAAGGTGGCCTTGAACACAGAGATCTGCTTGCCTCTGACTTTGCTAGGATTATAGGCGTATACCACCACCTCCCTGTTGTTATCTAAAAATGATTGTTCCAATGAACAAGACAGATCATGTGCAGGCATATAGTCACATGCTGCTTCATTGGAGGGGTTTGATTGTTGAGGTTTTATAACTGTAACTTGTTTATCTTCAATACAAGGTGAACAAGTTACATTCTGGTCTTTAACTTAGTTATAAATTTAAAAATACCTGGCTCGGTGCCTTACTAATTAATAAAAGCTTGCAATTCCAGCAAACCCCTACTTAATTACCATCTTTGGTGTTGTTGGTGGCCTAAATGGTACTTGTTATACAGTTATTGCTCCCATGCCAGTGTCTGAGACTACAAAAGAGCAAAAGAAAGCAGTGTTAATTATGAACACATTCAAGCTTTTGAAAACAATTTAATTGACAATTAAAATGCACTAAAGCCTTGTTGTTTGTTATATATTTCTAAGAGAAAACTCAATATACTGCCCGTAATCTGGAAATGGGAAGAGTAAAGATCAAGAAGCTCAAAAAATATGGTGCAAAGAATTCATGCCACCAACTCAAAGCAGCAGCAGTCAAAACCCTCAGTACAAAATGATCCTTGGAACAAGATAACACCCAACAGCTACTTCTCATATCACGGTTAGAGAATATGAAAAACACCAGCAGTCCTCAAACAGTTTGTCAATGTGAGACAAGCCAATCAAGTTCAAAGTCCAGAAATTGCAAAAGAAAGTTTAGGGGCAGGAAAGGGTGCAGGCTGGGGCACTCTTGTAAAAGGGAGGGCAACAGGGTCGCCTTAATTTCCTAGTATAGTTTAGGACTAGGCTCACCCAATTCCCTTGACACTTAGTGTCATCCAGGATTTTCCATCAAGTCCTGGGGACAATGGATCTGTCCCACCTTTGCATGGCCCACTAGACCCAGGCTGCCCCGACTCCGAACGGTGCTCAACTTACTGGAAACTTAGCAGGCAGCAAAGCAGCCTAATGGAAAATCTACCAGCCGGGGCACGTAGGGAAGGAAGAAGCCAGGAGGTACAGATTACTTACAGTTTGTCTCCGAGGCTGGCAGCAGCAGGGCGAGGCATACCAGCAGCAGCCGGCAGCGCGCGCTCAGGACCCTCATTGCTGAGAGCGGCCAGGGACGGCGGCTGGGCTGGCGCAGCAGGGACCGAGCCGGCGCTCCGTCCAGGGGAGCTGCGAGCCTGGGATCAGCTCTCCCAGCTCTGTAGTGGCCCTGCCCGAGCGCGGGCGGAGCAGCCCGGGGCGGAGGGGACCGCCCGCTCCCAGCCCCCAGCTCGGGAGGGGAAGCGATGACTGGGACATTTCCTGGAAGCTTTTCGCAGCTGGGGGGGGGGGTGTAGGGGATGGAGGAGGGCTCAGAGAGTGAGGTCGGAGGCCTCGGAAAGTTTATCAGACGTCCTTGGTCACAGTCCCCAAACCGGCATTTACTTGTTTTCTTTAGAAAGTGATGTTTTCCAATGGAGAAAAGACCCCCCTCCTCTGTCTCCCTCTTCTTCTCTCTCTCTGCCCTCCCCCCTTTACCCCTCCCTTTTTTCTCCACCCTCTCTCTCCCACTGTCCCTCCAGCTTCCCTCTCTTCTGCCTTCCCTCCTCTCTTATCTCCTCCTCCTTTTCCCAACCTTTCTCTTCCTCTCCTCTTCCCATTCTTTCTCTTGCTCTTCCGCTCCCCCCCCCCCCCCGTCTTCCCTTGTCTCCTTGTCCAGAGACTGTGCCAGCCAGGAGGATGTCAGGATGTCAACCTGATCTAGGAAGACAATATGGACTTTAGGAAAAAGACTGCTCAGAACAGAAGTAATGGGGGGAAAAGAAAATGGAGTGTTTTGATAACCTATGTTGTGTTTCCTCCAAATAGCATGTACAACCATTCAGCTTGGGTCATGCATATGCCTGTGAATTAGGCTTTAGGTTGCTACTTGAAACTAAACTGCCTGCACTCAAGGCACAGTACTTGGTCTTAGCACTGTTGTATACCTGAAAGAAAAGAGCTTACCCTTTTCAGCTCCAGTCATATCATCCAATACAGAGACAACAGGTTCTCATAGTGTTTGTTGATCTGAGACTTTTGATGGATGTTGTATAAAGCAATAAGGCCATGTCCAATGGTAGTGCTCAATGTGTACATACTAGCGCTCATTTCCTGCCCAAATGAAACATCGGTTGACTTTTCTTTTCTAAGTGTGTGAATGAAATTTGCTAAGCAGAATCATATTTTAAGAATTATTCCTAGATCTACTTGTTCTTTTCTGTTTTCTTTCCTCTCTTTTTTAAATGATTTTGTCATCCATGTCATAATGAAAGATGGCTAATGTTGGAGATAATGTCTCTGATAAAAGAACGGTTTGGGGAATTTCTATTCATTCAGTAGGGAGAAGGGAAATTCTTATATTATACCAATCTATGTTCTGTTCTTTGTTTAGGAATTAAATTAATTTATGATACACTAACAGGAGAAGGAGAAAATAATATTTAATTCCACATATATGCAGGGGAATTTCACTAAATTATGACATTCAAGGAGGTGACCAGATGATTGAAATATATTAACAACTTAAGCTCTGGAAAGGGAGTTTAAGATTTCTAGAAAAGGGGGTTGAGTATGGGGAGAAAACATCTCTAGGAAAGACAAGGAGTAGAAATGGATGGTCAAATGGGGTTTGCCTTATTGTCTCAGGGAATGAAAGTCAGCTCTGGGACTTGCTCTCTCTGATATGATAGAAATTTTACTAATCAAAAAATTCCTCAAAAAAATCTCTGTGAGTTCGAGACCAGCCTGGTTCCAGAACAGCCTCCAAAATCACAGAGAAACCCTGTCTCGAAAAACAAAACAAAACAAAAATTCCTTTATAGGTGCAATTTCTGTTGTAGCTTGGATCTTTTTGTAAAACTACATTTGAAAATACTCTGTTGAATGCATACGAACTTCGCTTCTGCATGTGCACCATGTGCCTGCGAAGCCAGCAGAGGGCGTCAGATCCTCCTGGAACTGCAGTAAAGGATTGTTTTGAGACACCATGTGAGTGAGTACTGGTAACCAAACTCAGGTCTTTTGGAAGAGCAACAAGTGCTCCACCACTGAGCCATCTCTCCAGCCCCTGAAGCTCCAACCTTATCTTAGTTGTATCTTAAAGGCTCCTGTGTTAAAGGCTTTGTCACCAACGTGTGGCAGTGGTGATGGTGGGAGAAAACATTAGGACTCAAGCCTAATGGGAGGTCATTTCGATATGTATCGCGCGTCATTTCGATATGTATCGCGCTGTCTCTCTCAAATACAGTAGCCACAAGACAGGCAGCCTTTTTAGCCTCTCTTCCAGTACAAATATTACCATGATACACTGTGGCATCACAAGCCACAGGCTATGTTATAGAACTTCTAAAACCGTGAGTAAGAATATGCATTGTCTCCATTTACATTGATCTGCAGGTATATTTTGTTGTTATTGTTGTTAAAAAAAAAACAAAAACAAAAAAACAGGGAACTCATACTTTATTTGAGGCAGTTCATAAAAGAGTCCTATACTTTTGCTGGATTTTGATTTGCTTTGTTTTAAAATGTCTCAGATGCCATCAGCATTCATTGAAAACATCTGCAAACTTGGATTGTGGCCATAGGTGAGCTTCATCACCCACAGCTTCAGAACCCTTACTCAGTTCAACACCCACTGCTCATTTCTGGGAGGGTAAAACCCAGACCCCCCAGATACTCATAATCACATGTCTTTCTATGGCTTCTGTCATGACCCCTTTGTCTTTCCACAAGGTTCACTGGAACTGTAGGCCAACACTGCCTTGTCTCTGAAGCTGGTATGATACCCTGTTCACATTTTCAAATAAATTGTTTAACTGAAATACACACACACACACACACACACACACACACACACACAAACAGATACATGTCAAGATAATACATGTTGCTGTGTCATATTGTAATCCCTTCAGGTTACTGGAATAAAAATTGCCCAGTATGTCTGGGCCCCTCCCTTTAAAAACCCTTTCTCCTTTGTGGACACTCTGACTCTACCAGGCCTGTGTATTTACCAAGGTGGTTCAAACGTAAATACAAATCTAATCGCTTAGAACTGTCTGGATTATAATAAAAGGAGCTTTGGGTACTATATTTAATCTTTAGTATGGAAATGCATGCACGCTATGTGTCTTCAATGGAAAGCTCCATTTGGGAGTCTCTTGATTATGTGAGGACAATTTTAAAGACAATGCCAACTTTGAGATCTCAAAGTTTTTTTTGGAGGAAAAAGTTCCTAAGTTAAACATCAACAGCGTTCCATAAAGTATCATCTCCAAGCCAGACAATAACAGAGAGAGCCCTGAGAAATGAATGTTAAAGACAAAGAGGCATTTCAAGGAAACCGAAAAAGAAAAAGAAAAAAAAAATTCCTCCAGTTTCATTGCTTGAAAGGGACTGACTTTTTAGTTTCAGAACTACTTTATAGTGTCAGTAAATGGGGAACAGCTGCCCCCTCACTGTAATGTCAAACTTGAAATGCTATCTGAAATGCTTAATAAGGAGACTGGAGAATATATCTCTGGATAGAGTATGTGGGTTTTAAACTTACAAGTTCACCTCAGTTTTAATTCAATATTGATATCTGGTTTCAGCTCTAAGTATTTATTAACACTTTGGCTAATATTACAAAGATACATTTTTTTCTTTTCTTTTTTGATTTTTCGAGGCAGGGTTTTTCTGTATTGTTTTGGAGCCTGTGTCCTGGAACTCACTCTGTAGACCAGGCTGGCCTCAAACTCACAAAAATCTGTCTGCCTCTGCCTCTCAAGTACTGGGACTAAAGGCGTGTGCCCAGCTACACAAATGAAATTATGTACAAACAAAACTTGACCAAACTTTTTTAACTCCTTATCCAATCCTGTTTTCATATCAAATTTTACAGTTTCCCTGCATCATCGTTTGCTATAAAACTATTAATACATTCATTAGTAGTTTTATTATGTTACATTACATTAAGGGCAGGATTTTTTTGATATCTGATTTATAGCCATGTTTCTAGTGCCTAGAACATTGACTAGTCCATAAATATTCAATTGAACAGTTTGAGTGGGAATGAATGTGTACACACACACACACACACACACACACACACACACACACACACCGCTATGAAAGGTGAATGTGAAGTGATTCTTGCTAAGATTCTTTGCTAAGATTGAACTCTGTGACTCACACAAACCAGGAGGGAGCTTCTTTACCATTAGGCTGTAGACTCACCACCACACATTTTTTTTCTTCTTTCCTTTTTTTTTAATTGATAGGATCTCACTATGCAACCCTGGATGGCATGGAGCTCTCTATGTGGACTGGGATGACCTCAGTTTCATAAAGATCAGCCTGCCTCTGCATCCAGAGTGCTAAGATTAAGGGGATATGCTACCACACACAGCCTTAGGGACTTATTTAGGATGATAGCAGTAAGACTGTTTTGTTATTCATTGTGGTAAAATAGCCAAAAAACTAAAACGATTTATGTCTTGGTCACAGGAAATTGGGATCTGCATCACTTTCCAAGAAGAGGTTCACCATATGTTAGCATAACATGCTAACATAGACTTTTACAAGTATTCACAAAGAGAGAACAGGGACCATGGCTCTGGCTGTTAAGTACTTTCATGGAATGCTGACATTCTACTCACATTCTGCTGGGCACAGGAAGTTACTTGGTGTGCTTGACTCAAAGGGGGAAGGATGAGGGAGGGGATGAGGGGAGGGGGAGTAAAACATAAAGCGATAAAGAAAGAAGAATTAGGAAGACCAGAGTTTCATGTATTGGCATGGCTCAGTGGAATAGAACAGATAAAAGAATGAACACCAAAATCAGTGCTCTGAAAAATTGGTGAACTACAAGTTACGGGGGTGGATTGTGAAAACTGAGTCAAAAGCAGCCTTGCTAACCCAACTGATTGTTAAGGGAGGCCCTTTCATTATCCTTCCCTGAACTTCCACTCCACTCCATGGATAAAGAGATAGGCTGCTGTGGTGCAACACAAATGCTTATAGGACAAGTGACAGTGACTTTAACACCTACTATTATCAACCAGAAACTGTATTGAGTCATGTCTCTCTCATCATCTCAGTAACTTTGTGAACTGGTGGATTTTCACTCTCATTCTACAGAAGGGCGAAAGAGGTCCAGAGTCAGCAAGCTCATGAGTTAGAAAAGAACTGCTTTAAAACCCCAATCTATCTTAGTCCCACACTATAATTTCCCTTGTATGCTGTGAATCCCAGTGTTCTATGATTTGAAATGTCCTTATTATCTATCATCTATCTGTCTGTCTGCCTATCGTCTATCTTTTAGTTGGAAGTTGAATAGACTAACATGGCTTTACATGTTATTGTATGCATTTTCAGAAAGGTATTTGCCATTTTTCTTAATAAATATGTTAGAAATATACATTAAATATCTCCTTTAAAATAAAGCATTGCAAAAGAGCCAGAATATTCACAATATCAAATTTCAAAAATCAAACGACAATGATTTTTGATAGCTAAAAAAGTATGAAGAAATACATTAAGTTATCATCTCTTGGATTTTTGAGTGGCAGGTGCATAATGTTTTCATATTGTTCCTTCTCTGTTTGCACATTCTATAACGAAGGACGGACATGTTGCTCTTGTAATTGTAATCCCTTCTTAGAAGAAATAGTCACTGTTCACATCTTTTACACATCAGCGATAAACATCAAATTAAAACAGCATTCCCATTTGAACTGTTGAGACAATTTAGCAAATGACTGTTTCCCAATTGTGTTTAATTTATAATTGCCTCTGAATTGCTCCTGAGTTCTTCAGCTTGAGTTGGCCTGAGCCCCAGAGGATCACCATCCCTACTGCACAACAAAACAGAACAAAAGAAAACAAAACACACAGAGGGTCAGAGATCTTTGGATCTCATTTGAGTTACTGAGGATGAATGAGAAACAAAAAGGTCGTCAGGCCATGGATTTCGATTGGGTATAGTCAGGGCTTGTGTGAGATCTCTCCGGGAACCCAGGATTTATCTACGGGACGCTCCGGTTGCCTAGTTACCAGAGCCATCTTCCATCAGCTCCTCCTCCTTCCTCTAGACCACGCCCACTTCCTCTTTCCGCCCTTTGACAGGGGGCGGGGAGCCAGGAAATCTTCAGCCGCTCAGAAGCCCGGAACGTAGGTCCTCAGCCTCTGATTGGAGCAGCGCGTTGTAGGCGGTTCCGAGGGCGGGCCTTCCGAGCTGCGGGAACGTCAGCACGTCGACGCGGGGTTTTCTCTGGAGTCCCGCTAACGCCGCGCCTGTGCTCCGGAATCTGTGCTCGGGCTGTCCCGGGTCCCGGAGCGGCGGGCCGACGCGGTTAGGGGCCGGACCTCAGGATCGGCCCCGGTCACCGCCCTCCCGGCCTGTCCTCCTGGCGGGTCCAGCCTAGGGGAACCTGGGGGGACGAGGGGCCCCTGAGCCGGGCCGCGGAGCTCGGGGCCCTTCCCCGCCCGCCCGCCCGTGGCTCGGATGGGAGGTGGCGGGAGGAGAGACCTGGGATGTTCAGTCTGATGGCCAACTGCTGCAACTTGTTCAAGCGGTGGCGAGAGCCTGTCAGGTAGGCTGGGGCGCGGGCCCGCTGCCCACAGGGATGGGGACGACCGCGCCCCTGGGCCGGGCCGGGCAGGGCCGGGCGTCGCCTCTTCCCTAGGCTGGGGAGGAGTCGGCCGGGTCTGGGGGATGCCACCCGTTCCCATGGACCATTCCTGGAACCAGAGCCTGGACGTGCCCCACTTCTTGTCTGTTTGACTAAGTTGTATTGTAAGTTGTTTTGAGTTTCTCAGAAAGATGCGTGTCTGTGTGGAGAGAGGAGGAGGGAGAGAATTGCCCATTGTGGTTTCCTTAAAAAAAAAAAATAAATAAAACAAACCTTTTGTAATGCAAAAGTTTTTAAAGAGATGCATGAAGTACAGTTTCCTAATGAACACATCCTGTTGTGCTCTCCCTTGTACACATCTGAAAACAACCGCACACTATTTTGTTAGGCTATTTGGCTCTACTCCTTACTAATTATATGATTCAACATTTGGCCCATCTTCCTTATTTATTAAATGACGATGATAACATCTGTGCCTAAGAAGTGTTGGATTCAATTAGAGTGTGAGAAGGGTAGTGTTTTCTTTGCTGTAATTTAGCTTCTGTTTTCATGTACACTCTAGGGTAACCTAATTGAAAGGTCTCTTGCTTCGTGATTCATTTTGCGTTAGTGCATGTGTTAAGGTTCAGTGCATATTCCTCGGCTCATGCAGTGAGTACTGTCAAGAAAGTGACTTGTACCAGGCACCGTGTTAGGATGGAGTCAGTTAAGCTAATGGTTCTAGATTTCAGAACCATACAGTGTGTTTCTGTTTATAACTGTGAACTTTTTACAGTTCAGTATTGGAATTAGCAAAGTTGTCTCCCCCTCCTAACTCCACAAATATATGTATTTGTCATTACGATGAGCTGCAGATCATTAAAGAATTCAGTTGAAAAGCAACACTTCACATATTTATAGGAAAACACGTGTCTGTATTTGGAAAAGAAATTTGCTTTAAACAAAATTTTTGGCGTTCTTTCCCGTCATTGACTCTGGGTTTGAGTGTTGTAAGTGTAAGTTTAGGACAACCTCTAAGAACTGAAGATGTGCCCTGCACTGTGTACTGTGAGTAATTGAGTTTAATCCTCCTCTGGCTGATTTCAGAGCTACTGCCCAGACTCAAAAGTTGGAACATATGTCCCTTCATACTTGCCTCTGCTTACTTTTGAAGAATGCATATTTTAGGAGAGTATTACAGCATTAATATATTCAGCGCTTTGCTTTTATGACTTGCACTAATTCATACAAAATTGCTCTTACTATACTTATGTTTTCTGTTCATTTTTTTAAAGTTTTAGATATGCTGCTTGATGTTACAATTCATTATATATTTTTTGAAAATGTATTTGCAAATGTGAGGGAAATGTTCAGATGTTCTGTTGGCTTGTCTAATAGATTATGTACTCTTCACATGGAAGGTCTTTCCATCAAGCTCTCTTACTCATTTGTTTAATGGTAAGCCACGAGCCATTGAGAATATTAGATATGTTTGCTGTTGTACTAGGCAGGAGGCGGAGACTCAGCATTGAGGAATCAGTCTGAGTTAGTAATGAGGACCAGGAATGCAGCCAGTTTTCAAACCATACTTGCCATACAAGTCAGAACATGAACTGGGCTTTCCGGCTGTGTAAATTAATCTTGAATTGACTATCGTGCTAGGCCCACAGACAGGTTATCTACCTCAATAGAAGCCATACAGTACAGGGCTAGATTTTTTTAATTTTTATTTTGAGATATAATACAGTGATGAAAACTAAAACAAAACAAACCAGTATAGTACTGTTAACTAAAATGTGACCTGTATTGTAAGCTCTCCTGCTGATAATAATTTTTAATTTGGGGTGTGTGTGTGTGTGTGTGTGTGTGTGTGTGTGTGTGTGTGTGTTTAGGATCCTGTCTAGAGTCCCACAGTACATTTACTCTGATTCACCTTTCTCAGTCTGTAAGAGTCGTCATCTTTGAGGCCACTTTGGATAGTACTGCTTAGGGATTTTAAGGTTGAGGTTATAGTTATTTGCAGAATACTCCTCAATTTGCTTTTTAATTCCTTGTAATTTGAGTACAGTGGAGCATATGGAGGAAGAATGACTGGTACAGAGATAGTATGTCGTTCATCATAGGCAGGTGCTCGACAGTACACATCACTGTGACCATATCAAGGGCTGTGTAGTGCCACTGCGTTTCATTACCGGGAGGTTAACTTTGAACACTTGCTTAATGTGATGTCCTCCGGCTTTCTCAGTATAGTGAGTGCCTGAGTTCAGTAGATTGTAATGGGAATCTTCATTTTCCCATATCCAAGTAGTTGGTTATTTCTATCTCACAGCATTTCAAGAGAAAATATCTCTGCAAGTATGACTGCGGAGGTTACTTTTCTCATTGCTGCTACCAAAACCTGCAGGAGCAAATTATGACAAGAAAGAGTTATCCGGACCTAAGTTTTAAGAAAACACGCCCATTTCTCTGGGAAGGAAATCAGAGTTGTTGATGGGCATCTGCAGCCAGGACTCAGTAGTCTGTAAATGCTGAAGTTCAGCTGTTTTTCTCTTTTACCCTTATATTTAGTCTGCAGGGCTCCATTCATACTCTGGGTGGGGCTTCCCTCCTCTGTTAAATCTCCTTGGACACTGTCACAGACACTCCCAGTGGAGTGTCTCCTAGGTGATTCCAAATGCAGTCCAGGTGACAATGAAGAATTACCATCACAATGGCATCAAGCTTTCACTCAGCAAACTACCTACCTCCAGCCCTGAGTGATACCCATTGTATAGGAATTCATCCTCTGCTGATAGCTTATGTTTATCCGGATATAGTGTAGCCCTTTCTTCCTATTTGTCTTTCCAAGATTAATTCTCACCCCCTTCCCTCTATTCCTGTCACCACCACCCCGCCCCGCCCCCACCAAAGTTAATTCTTAGGCCTTTGCTCTGTATTCCATTTTCTTAATTTAGTTGTCCTACATTTAAAAAGTTTTTATTTACTCAGTATACTTTATATATACGCCAGAGGGGACTTGTGGGATATAAGAATAAACTTGTGTTGTTTTTACTATGAAAACCCAAAGTTTTTCTCCTTAGTCTTCCAGATTTCTCTTACATCTTTTTTAGAATATGTTTTCAGGGCTTTCTTGCCTAACCAACCCAAACTCAGCTTATTAGCTTCCCATAGCTGCTATAACACATTGCTGTAACTGTAGTAACGTGAAGTGATGTGACATTATTATCAATATGTTCTGACATCAGAAGTTAAAATGGTCTCCTGGGTTGTACCCCTGGAAGCTCTGGATTCTAGGGAAGAATCTATTCTCCATCGCTCTTTCCAGCCGGCTGGAAAGACCGCCTGGGTTCCTTGGTTCATGGTCTTTTCTTCCTCCTTCAAGGCTGGTAGCATAGCCAATCACAACAGTATGCTATAACCTTATTTGGACCCTTGTGATTACATTGCATCTACTTGTACAGTCCAAGGTGAGCTCACTGTCATTAATTGTATCTCAAATCCCCCTTCATGTAAAGTAGCATGTGCACAGGTGGAGATCAGGTTGTGGACATCCTTGGGAGGTATTTTTTATCTGCCATCCTCTGTAACCCTCTGTCTACACAGCTACTTGCATCTTTTCTTTTCACCCTGGGATTCTCAGTTCACCGTGGGTTATGGTGCTGTCCCCCCCCCCCCCCCTTTCATGCATCCTGCAACTCCCTGTATAACAGACTACTGCCCTGTCCCTTTAAGAGTTGCTTCCTGGAAGCTACATGCAGTTGCTTCCTTTTGACTCTTGCCTTAAATGGGCTCTTACTATCTTTCGATGTTTAAGACCACTCCTTAAGAGCCTCAGCATTTCGTCCTTTCCTATTGCCTGCTTCTTTTATCTTACTTCACCAACTCACTTTCCTTCATCAGTCTTCTCAGTTTCCCCCAAGGTTCTCTTCTCCTTTCTGTGTCATGTCCTCACTGTATAACCAATCACATGTCATGCTAGCATTTCAGCTACATGCTGGATGCATTCCTAGTACAGAGAGACTGCCCTCTACAGAATTCTCAGTCTCAGCACATCCACAATCAGCTTGTGCCCTGTCGTGTCACAAGTTCCTGTTGTCTCACCTGTATTTCATGTTAGCTGATTTATTTTGCCTTTCTCTTACCAAAGTCAGAAGTGAAGAGTAACCCTGAATGCTGAATTATGCTTTGATCTGCGTCACTAGGTTCTGGTGGGCTACATTTGTAAGGGGCACTTTCAGAGACCACTAGTGTTGCCTGAAATTGAGTAATAACAGACCCTGTCTAAACTATATCTATACTATAGTATGTTATATTATACTATACCACACACACACACACACACACACACACACACACACACACACACGCACACACATACCAACGATAAGCTTTGACTTGTAGATTTGGCACAGTAAGACCACAACAGTTATAACTAATAATAACATTGATTATAGCAATGTTCCATAATAATATGACCAGTATGGAAGCCCCCATTTGGCGGCTTCTATTAAGTAACATGCAGGTGACTTGAACAAAACTAGTCAGGTAACAGACAAGGTTACCAGATAACGAATGGATGGGTGGCATATACAACATGGCTATGCTGAATAAATACGTGATGTGATTCATATGAGTCACAGCCAGGCATGGGGTTGGGGGGGGGATGATACTTTCACTGTATTTGGGCCCCACAGTAGAGAGGTTAGGGCTCCACTGTAGAACTTTGTAGTAACTTTAGAGCACAGACACATGCTGCGATTTGATTGAATGCCCCACAAGTGGTCCACGTGTTAAAGGCTTATATTATAGTTAAGAGATGAACTCTGCATGTGCTCTCACGTAATGTGCTGCCTTTTAATAATAAGGACTTAGAGGTTGCTTGTACTTCAAGGTCTTGACCATATTGGGGGCTGCAGATACCCTGAGTAAGTAAAACTGGGAGAAAAGTATGGTATCTCAGTGTCTTAGTTAGGGTTTCTATT